ATATATATATATATATATGTATATATATATATGTGCGAATAATAAAAATAAAAATAATATATGGTTGAATATATATCGGACATTCTTACCTCCAACAGGGTTTGTTAAAAAATGCATGCAAACCATAAAACACCTGGGCCAGACATTTTTGTGGGACACTCAGGATCAGGGCCAGTGGTCCACAGGATGACTTGGATTCAAATTTGTTTTCATCTATTTATTTTTTGCAAAGATTTGTGCCACAATATCAGTGGGTTTTAAACCACTAAAATGAAGCCAGCAATCATAGAAATTCATGTTTTTCTTCTGCCATCTGTTTTTCAACTGTGTTTTAAGTTTTTAACACTAGAAATGTTCAAGTTCTTTCCATAGTTACATAAGTTTGGAAAACTTTTGTCTATAACTAAAAATGACTTGGTGTCATTGTTGTGATCCAGGTCACCACAGAAGCCACAGACATCGCAGCCATTCCAAGTCCCCAGAGAGGTGAGTATTATTATTATTATTATTAATGCATATCTGGGTAACGTTATTTGATTAGTGGGCGCTGCGCTTCCTGGTCTTGATGTCAGTGGCTTTGATCTCCTCCTTTAGCCAGCTTATTATCCCAGCAGGGTACCTGATCACAGGCATAGGAGTTGATAGCCCAGATCTTGTTCTTACCATTCAGTACTGCTCCTTGGGGCTGTTCATCTTGTAGCCAAACATCTCATGATCACTGCTGCCATAGATCAGCTGGTTAGTCTCGGTATGTTTGCATAGTAGTGCTGCATTCACATCATCTAGAAGACCTTCAGAGGGTAATTTATGTAATCTTGGTAACCGGCTACAGAGGGTCCAGGATCCTGTCTTTCAGGTCAATTCCTCTTGCACTTAACGATACTTTCTTCATACTCGGGGGTTCATTCCCACCCAATCTTGGGTATCTCCCCCTACTTGTTGTCTTGGCTCCCCCTTGTGTTGCATTTGTGTTGTTCCTTGCCAGTCTCTAGCCGTGAGAGCAGTTTCTCCATTATACTTTCAGGATTTTAATTGTCTATAAACAAGTAACTAAATTAAGTAACTAACAAGAAATAGCACAGGCACACTATACTGTGCCGTAATTTGATATGGGCTAAAGACAGAAAAGAAGAAGGAGAAAGAAAAAGAAATGTGTATTTTTAAGCTCCAGGTTAAAAATAACAAGACAGAGAGGGAGAAGAAAGAGTTTCCCTCTGTGTGCATATTTGTATTCACCAACTCCAGTGTAGTGGTATTATAATATTCATTGTTTATTTAACTTGGTTTTGTTTTGTTTCACGTTACAGGAGTTCAAAAAAGAGTCACAAGAAGAGTCGAAGAGGAAACGAGTGATTTTTTTT